CATTGCACAGCTTTTTAAACTTCCCTTTAGGTACTGATCCTTTACCTGGTTATGTAGTTTGGTGATTCCAAATATACTTTTCTCCTGTTTAAAATCATTTTGAGTGGTCTCTTTTGGACTTCTGGGTTATACTGTGTCCCAAAGCAAAGTATATTTCCAACCGTGTGAGGTCTCTTGAGGAATAAAAGTAACAGGAAATGTTTAATAAATAAATAAATCCAAGTCCCCCAGAAAAACAAAACCAAAAAAACCCCAACCAACCAACCAACACTATGAAGTAAACGTGAAATGTGTAGGATATATGCATGTACCAAACTGTTTTTATCATGTATGTAGATGATTTCCTTCATAAGTTTTTTCACATGTCTTACAAAAGGTATGAAACAAAAAAAAAAGTGATTATAATTTACTCAAAGGCCATACCAAGTAAGTCTTCAACCCTCTACTGAATAAGCTTTTTGTGCACTTAGACACAATAGTTCATACCTACCTGCTCATGCTGTTATTACCATTATCTAGTATTGTTTTGTATTGCAGTTAGCACCCAAAACGTGCTAATCACATACAAGAAAAAAAAATCTACTGATGCAGAGAGCTTAGCTTTTGTTAACAGCAAGAGTGAAGGGATGAGAACTACAGTGAAAGTTGCAATGCAGAAAAATGCAGAAAGTGGCAGAAAAATGCTGGAGTTTTTTGTGTGCTTTATTATAAAAGTAACGGATTTTTGTACTAAATTGTTGTTGATGTCAGTGTTCATGGGTAAGCATTTCCCATTTCTCTCAGCCCTTCTTCCAACTTGATTAGGAGAAAGGCTCCTCAAACAAGCCCAGCACTTTTCTTTCTTTCTTTCTTCTTTCATTCCCTTCTCTTAAACCTAGTTTTATTTGCTATGTCTGATTATACTGCTATCCAAGTATACTCTGTAGAGATAGAGAAGCTCTATACATTGAGACAGTCCTTCATGATTGTCATCTAACCACCAGCATCTCCCCAGCAATTGACCTGAAGTCCCATGACTGTACTCCAGTCCTCCTATTATGGTGAAAATCTCTCTTCACCTATTTTCAGTTCTGCAATCTTCAGGCTTCTCCTTTTGCATGATTTGAAAAATGCAGGAGCAGCTGTGTCTGCCAAAGTTCCATGTGGAATAGCGATTTCCTATGGTGGAAAAATATGCTCTGCACAGTAATTACTGTAAGTCAAGTCCATTTAATCTGCACAAAGACTTTTATTGTGTTACGCAGTTCAGGAGGATTTGGGAGGCCTAGTCTCCAAAGTTTGTAGGAAAGCAATCTTATAGATGTTAGAGGTGTGACACATGTTAGATTGCTGCATATATTGGGTAGCAGAGGTTTTGGCATCATAGGCACACAAATATAAAGATGGAATATAGACTCCAGTTTCTCATGAATAAGTCTAGCTAAAGGTAGATATGGGATAATCATTATATAATTTTCCTACTTCCCTTTATTAACTTTGCCCTACATACTTTCTTGAACGTCTAAGCCCTTTTTTCCCCTCCCTGTGGTTTGTATAGAAGTGCATAAGATTGCAGCAGGTGCCCTTTTTTTTCCACCATTTTGTTTTTATTTTCCAGGTCTTTCACCTGACACACAGAAAGAGAGCCTTTAAATGGCTTTCTATGAAGAGCGCCACACCATGGCTTCAAAATTAGTTAGATCTGTAAACCGTCAAATTGTGAGCTCAGTCAAACTTTTCCTTTCTCTCCCTTTCAGTTTTCAGTCAACTAGTTCCTTCTCTTCATCTCCAAAAGTGGTTGTTTATTATTCTTGTCCAGTTGCAGCCATTGCTGTCGTTCCAGGATTGAATCTGGCAGAAGAAAGGAGCCTGTAATGCTTGGGCACCCGCAAAAACACCTACAACAAAACTGTAGAATTGTATATATTTTAGTTTAAAAAATTTGCTCTTTAACATTATTAATAGGAGGCTCCCCTAATTGACTAAGCTAAACTTTGGAGATTTCTTTATTACCTTCCTTTTCTCCAATTTTGTTCATATGTTTACAGGAGCTGAAATCTCTTATGTGTAGATTTCAGTTCTTTATTTCAGTCTTGCCTTAATTTTCCCAACTGTGGTTTGATCTTTTGCAGACATCCTAGTGGTCCCTAGACCACAATTTGAAAAGCACTGCTTGGAAAATATTTAGTCTTCAGTTTTTGTTTTGAGCTTTTTATGGAGTTAGAGAATTGATGGGTCCAAGTTCAACGACTTAAATTTTTTCAGAACAGGACTATTTCTTACGAAGAGTGTTGCCTGATGCAACTCAAAGTAGGGCATATGAGCTCTTCAGGACAATATATTTGTACAAAAATCAGCAAAATACTTAAATTTGTTTCACAATCCTCCACCATCTTGTCCAGCTTGTGATTTTCTGCCTGACAGAGGCATGTAAATGCAGCTTGCAAAATCTGTGAAACCCTTACATATTCAGGTGAGATATGCCGACTGTACATCTTTATCTCTCGTGCACACTTGCCTGCGTCATTACCTTCCGAGTCCTTGCAGCTGCCCAGTCCAGTTCCATAAAAGCATTTCACCTGCTCAGTTTTTGTCCTTCCCTTGTAGCCAATCCTATGGAATCAAAAAACTCTAGGTCAGGAATCCTAGTCAGTGCTCTTCGTATTTCCCTTTTGATTTCATACAAAGGGACATAAACAGATTATCATCCATAAGGTCAAACCATAAACTCGCAGTAAAGCAACAGAACATGCCATGTTGAGCTATCAATGATCAAAATTATAATAATAGCTCTAGATAAGGTGTTCCTGCTGTGAAGGAAGCAGGAAAACTTCTTTAGAGTCTTTCATCGCTAGGCGTGCATTCATTTGTACATTGTCCAAAATGTATCTTCTAACCATTACTTTAAAATACCCAACATATTAGCAAATCTTCATTTATGCTTCAGTGATTCTTCAGGAGTCTCCAACTGCTCTGCTACAGTTCTCTGGATAAGAACCTTTCCTACCAGATGAGAATACTTCTTGACCAAAAAAGTTACTGTACCGCATGCCTAATATGAATATTAAATGCTTAGATCCAATTTTTGAAAGCGTATATTTGTTTTGCAAATGTTTGCAGCATGTTTGAATAAATGTTAAGATTACCCCAAACAGACTTCTTAAAGCTCAAAACAAGCCTGTGTTTCACTTTGAAATATCCACGAATTATCCACAATGCATCTGTTCAACATACCAATATTTGTAAGTATTTCCCTTTAAAAAGACAAGAAAACCCTAGAAATAAAGGCAATTGCTTATGCAAGTGATTTCAAAGTTAAATATTATCTTAGAAGTACTGTGGATGGAAAACAGTTGCTTGGTACTGCATGATTAGTCCACTGAGGTTAATTAGCAAGCTGTTCAGGTTTTACAGGAGCCAAGAAGCAATGAGAGGTAATCCAAAGTTTGGATTAAATTTTTCTGTCTATTGTAGGGACTTGCAAATGGAGTTTACAAATTTCTAACCATGCCAAGGGTGGTATGTTTGTTTTCTTTAGAAAATTGCTATTTGGAAACAATTTCAGTAATACATCACAATGCTATGTTATAGTCATGAGCTACCAAGTTATCATCAGTAAGTGATCCTTCAGAAGTCAAGAGCTGGATGTTTAATGGCCCACTGCTGGGATTCTCATTTTGCTCTGTTTAGTCTCTAAGTTAGGGCCCATTTTCCAGGCCTGCAGTCCTTTTGACTCATGTCCTATGGATCTCTCTTGCTGATGAAAAAATGCTCTGTGTTGAGAGATTCACCATATATGCACTCAAAGCATATGAAAAGTCTCTCTGTAGAGACGTGCAGGCACGCGTGGGACAGAGTATTGCTTACAGCTCATGGGGAAGGCATGCAGAGGGTGCTATTGACTGGATGTGTACATGCTACTCATCAGGGTGCTTTGGCATGGAGGGCATGTCGGTCCTACAGGCAGGCACTGAGCTGTTGCTGAGCAGTGAGAAATTCCCAGGTGCTGCCAGCCTGGAGCCAGGAGAGCTGAGAAGCAGCTTGCTGGGATAGTGTGTGCTGGGAGGAAGGAAATAGTGTCTTCCTAGTTCTGCCCTTGATGTAAGATCTTAGCCGTGTCCACTGTCCACCCTTGTAACTCTCTCTCCTGCCTCATCTGTCTGGTGTCTTCTGTGTAACATTTTTAGGTTTGTAACTGTCTTTCAACAGCTGTTTACCTTCTAATTGAAAGTGAGCTGCAGAGTTAGAAACCGCCCTGTCTTGCCTGTCCATCACTGTTAATCAAGTATTGAGGGGTGGGAGAGGCTTAAGCAGAGGAGCCTGGCTTGCATTTTTTTCTTCTGTCTTGTTCCATTTTCATAGCACTGTGTTTGTTTCCCAACACAGCTGTGATGTAAAAAGATCATGAGATAACTACATGAGACTGGTGTTGTGCGACATTACTATGAAAAGAAGACACTGCACAATAGCTTTTCATTACTTCATATATTTACTATTAACATATATTCAAGCTATTGGATCTTTGCCTTGGCTGAGCTCCTGTCCTGGAAGACATGCCCTGTGTTTCACCACTGGCCCTGTCTGTCGGTGGTGGTGCACCTGAGAGGCATTAAATTGGAGGTTTGTGTTCTTAGAATGAAAAATGTGCAAATAAATAGCAATATGCTTTACTCAGTCTCTGCTTATCAGATTGCTTCTGACCTCACCTGAACTGCTCCCTTTGCTAGAACTGAAACTGCATGTGTGAGAGGAGGCAGACTTCAACTCGTGGTGCATTAAATCAAGCATTAATAGTATGTGTGCAAAGAATTACCAAAAGGAGTGGTAAATTATGTGTTCGGAAAGGCTTTACACAGTTAGGACAAAGAATGTCTCAGTGTTTTCAGAGCAAGAAATGAGGCCTTTTTGTTCTTCTCCAGGAGGCAAGTAGCACCAAGGTGTGTGTTGGCAGTTTGTTTGCTCCAGACTCTGAAAGGATGCTTGGTTTGCAAAATTTTCATCTCTTCTATTTTATTCTCCAGTTATGAATTCCATGTGAAGCCTAGAAACCCTCTTGGTGAAGGTCCAAGTAGCAATGTTGTGGCATTCAGTACTGAATCAGGTAAGAACTTCTAAACGTCCAACCATCATTTACAGTAGCTCTAGTATCCATCTTTGTGGGATATGTGAAAGGTTCTCTTGCTTCATTTTGCATGTTTAGTCTCGCTCTTTACTATTTCCAGACTGGCATTTTACTCCTGAGCATGTTACAGTAATGCCTGGAAGGTCAGCCTGAGACTGGGGCTATATGGTGTGTGCATGTAAGATGGCCAGGCTGCAGGAGTAAAAATCAGGAGCACAGAGAGTTTGTCTGGTGTTCATTATGAAGAAACTAACTTTATCCTTAGAGAAGGCTCAATCATTTAAGATTAATATTCCCGACCTTTTTGTATCTGTCAAACTCATTAATGACTTCTGGATGGGGAACATAAGGTTTTTCTGTGGGCTGGTGTGTTTATAGGCACTTCTGCTACCTGTTCAATAAGGCTGCTGTGTAATAATGATGTTTTTTGGCTGAAATAAGGATTGAGAAATAGCAGTTGGGAAGAGTCAATGTCGCAGTATGTCCTCTTCCATCCTGTTTACTCTCCTGTGAAACTGTTAGGGAGGTGTATACAAGCCTATTTTGAGCATTGGTTGGTTCCCAAGTTAAGTCCTATCTGACTCAGAGGTGAGAATCAGAGAGTGCCTTTGCTTTCCCTATTCCAGTTCCCCACGAGGCTAACTGCAGTTGACTTGTTGACTTTATACAAGCAAGATACCATCTTTTGTGTAGAAGTGTTTACTCGTTGGTAGTACTTAAGGACCATATAAAACACAAAATGGATTTAGCCTTTTTAAAAGGACTTTCTCAATCTGCGTTTTGAGCCAGGTGTAATAATACAATAGTCCTTGTCTAGTGCTGTCACTGATGCATGAGAGTTTTGGCTGAGCAAGGGATTAGTCAAGGAGCAGTTCAGACTATGCCACACATATTTAAAGACTGTGAATACACTCTTTGTAATCCTAGATTGTTAAAACTGAAAAAATGTGTATGCCAAGAGGAGTTTTCATGAATGACAAGTCTTATGTTCCATCTCCTATTTAGCTTGGACAAATTAAGGGATCAGTTTTATTTTTTCTTAATTGCACACATCCATTGCTCTCTTTTGGGCTTTTGTAGCCAAGTTTTGTGTGGCAAGTATTACAGAGGGGTCCTTTTTAGTATTTAAGTTTTGAAACTGAAATTTAAAAAAAGATGCAGTAGAATTGGGTTTTGCTAGTTACAGGTTTGAACTCTTGTTTTTACTAGAACTGCATTTGACTGGTATTGTCCTGTAATTAAAAATGTTAAGAGCTCATTGATACTGTAGTTTCACATAAGAAATATATTTCTTTTAACTTAATTTAATACAAAAGTGAACTTTGCTTCCAAAACTCTTTCTGTTTCACAAATTACAGCTTATGTCAACTGTAGAAAGTCGCTTACCAATGCTTTTCCGTTGAAACCTTGGGGAAGTTCATTTTACAGTGTCTGATTGAATGTTTGTTTTTTTCCCCCAGCGGACCCAAGAGTGAGCGAGCCAATTTCAAGTAAGCCTTTTATGTATAGTATCGTGTCTTCTGATCACGAATTTTTTCAGAAATTAGATAGCATGATTTTACAAGGGGGGTGGCTGTACTGCATCAGTTAAACGAGTTATGTAATCAAACAGCATTCACACATGATTTCACTCCTTCCGCCCATACCCCTGGTAAGGAATTCATGGCAGGCTGCTTGTTTACCTGAGCGGAACGCAATCAACGTGATGTGGTACTCCCATGGCAGCTGGGATGGCTTCAAACCAATGTACACAAATGAGCCATGGACAGCCTCATACTTTCTCAGCCTTGTCATTAAAGCAAAAGAAAGCTCTGTAAAATTAATAAGCTACTCCACACTTTTCAAGTGAGTTAGAGCACAACTCAGAGGATACTATTTATCTACCATTATGTTTTAGAAAAATTTTCTGCTTCTGAAGGCTTGATCCAGTTCTGCTTTAGGCCACTTACAAGACTCTTGGGACTGAGCTTTTGAAGAAGAGCTGAGATCGCTGAAGCAAATTGGGCTGCTTCTTGCATTTGTAATGGACATCATTTTGACAAGCACTGAGACACTATTTCTTTCCACACAATTCATGGCACTTAATTTTTATGTGTATTTTTGTTAAATATCATAGAGTTTGCTTCAAGTTGACTGTCCTGGCTTGAGCCCACTGAAAAACAGTGACTGTATCACACACTTTGTAAATGAGAGTTTTGTCAACACACGGACATTGTCCCCTTAACAAGGTCCGAGAATGAGGTTATTCCAAACTGGCACTGCACACAGAGACCAGAAGCAGTTCACCGCATCAATCATATCTGCACCCTTTGGTGCTTCCCTGAAATCACTTTCATCTTCAAAATGCAGGTGATTGGTTCCATGGTGCATTCTGCTCCATCAAGGTTTCTAATTCTATTTATGTGAGTCTATTTGTTGTACATAATTTTGTATGCAGCATCATACTTCAGCCTCTTTCTTCCTCTCCTGCAGTGGGAAAGGATGCTATCTGGACTGAAATCCCATTCAACTCGGACACCTATTCAGAATGCAAAGGGAAACAATATGTAAAGAGGACCTGGTATAAGAAGTTTGTAGGTGTGCAGCTGTGTAATTCTTTGAGATACAAGATATACCTCAGTGATTCACTTACAGGTAAGCAACATTGAAATCAGTGTTGTCCACATTACACACTCCTTAAAGATACCATGGCTCCAGAACTTAACAGGTTTAACAAGATGAGCTGGGCTGAAGTGTGATCACGTGTGTTTAATCTAGTCCATAGACAGATTAATCATAAACAGTAATCTGCTTGTGCTCAGTAATCATTGATGTGTTTGATACTGAATTTTCACACTCAAGAGTTACTTCTCTGTGGTGATCATCTGATTTTAAGTACCTGTTTGTATCCTGGGGGTCATACAGAAAATTGATAAAGATTAGGTCTCTGCCAGTGAATAGCATGTATTGTAAAGGTGCCAAATTTGTATTTAAAGGTTAGCTTGGAATAGTTCTTAATTAGAGGATTAGGACCTAATTTTAGACCAGGATTAGACCTAGTCATTCCTATCCCATTTGGTAAATATCTGGTTACTTCATTGCTGTGAGGTTTTTAAATACATGACTTCAACTGTCGTCAACAGGTTTTACTCACCTGCTATGACATTTTTGTTTTGTATTCACATTCCCCATTTTTGCTTATAATCTCTTGTTTCCTCCTTTCTTTTTCTTATATTATGTTTTATTACTAACAACAGCCTCTTCAAAGTTTTGTTCAGTATCTTAAGGTCGCTAGAGTGTGAGGTATTTAAGACCTGAATCAAGTGACACATATTGTGTGTAAGCTGGGGAAAGAGCCTGTAAAAACTGTTTTTCAGTTAGTTGATAGTTAAGCAGAACTTTGTGTCTCATGCAGATTGTACACGCTATATTTAGAAATGTGTTAACTGCTTATAATCCATCCCAAGCTCCTGGCTTTCTTCTGTACGAGGCGTTTTATCAGAGCTGCATGGACATCTCTATCACAATGTTGTTAGTATGGCATCCAGAGCACAAAGAGTGTAATACAACTGTGTGTGGGAAACGTCTTCTGAGTGCAAGTTAGGCAGCATGTTCATCACATTGGATTGAATTAACTAGGAGAAACTGTGGCTGAATGAATCAACTTTCATAACCCAACGTTGTCCCATCTCAGAGCTCAGCACCTCACAGGAGCAGCGCTCTGGTCTCTGTATGTAGGAACAGGGAAAGAAAAGAGCAGGGGAGTGCAGGGCAGCCCATGCCAGTACAGTTATAAGCTGCCTGGCCTTGCACCTGGCACCGTTCTCCCATGAGCAGACGAGGAAAGAAAGCCTTGTCCTTAATCATAAGTACAATAACCATGAATATGTAAATGATATCTTGGCAATTTTGTGAATAAAAGAGACTGTTTTGAACAGAGGTATCATTCATTCAACTGTTGCTGTACTAACCAGCTGTGATCAAATGACAAACTCTGGCAATGAGGCACGACGTATCACAGAACCAGCCAGTAGAGGAAATAGCAGTGCTAATCTAGCAGGACTAGACTTCAGCCCTAAATCAAGTGAATTATCACTGCAGGGAAAGCTACTTCAGTCTTAGAAGAAAAGTTTAATATATCAGGAGCCCATTTTCCTATTTTCATTAGATTGTTTTTGTTCTTGCTGGAAGGGCGGTGATTTAACTTTGCTGGAGAAAGGTGATGGTAGCCACATTGTATTCATTACACTTGCTAAGCCTGGTTCTTGCACTTGAACTGTTACAACCAATGCTGACCAGTTGTCACAATATTTGAAAGAACTGAAATATTTCTGCAAAAGGAAAGCTGCTTTTCCCTCATTTCTGAAGTGAGACTGTCATGGCAGGGTCCTCTATATGCAAGTGAGAAAGTTTCCAGTTGGAAGCCAAACTCTGTTCTTATGTGTTTCACTGTCCCACCTTGTCTCACCGTGCCCTGGGGGGCAGCAGAAGCGTGTCTGTGGGCACCAGCCAGCTGGGCAATCTGGTAGCGAAGGGCTGCGCTGAGGGCTGAGTTTCACCTGATGCTGAAACTACCTTCCAAAGCTTTGCTGACCAAGCAGCATCATGATCTTGAAATTTGGGGGTGTTGTACAAATGCTGTTGTGTAAGGCAGCCAACAACCATATCTTTGATGCTGGGTTTTAGCATGAATTTATACTTCCAGCATTGCAGAATTCATAATGTATAAAACAAAGATGGGATCTAATTTTCTTAAGACCACCCATAAGGGAACACTGGAAAAAAAATAATTTACTCTGTGCTAGAATAGCTATCCTCAAAAGAGAAAGATGAATCTAGTTAGCTAAATGTTTTTAAGTGTGTTCTTTCATTATGGAAAGAATTGGGCAGTAAGAATTTAATAGTCACTGAGAATGCTGGTAATTTATGTATAGCAATTGTTTGAGTTATGCATAGGTTACGCTGTGGGCCAGAGGAGTGTGTGTGTATCTGAAAGTTACTGTTCTTGTGTTAGCCATAAAAATATCTGTTTTATTCTCTCTCTCATGAAGAAAAGCTGATCTACGTTACACATGCCAGGACTTTTCTATAAACCAGCATCTACTGCTGACCTCATTTAACAGTCCTCCAGAGCAGTCACTGTAGGCATTCCAGAAAAGCAGGCCACCTAAAAAAAAAGTATTTATTGACAGGAGGAAAAAAATAAATTCTAAGTGTGACCTTCAACAGCCATGGAAAAAAAAAAAAAAAAGCCGTTTTTGGGCAGCCTGAATGTTCTTCATTTCAGACCAAAAAATTGCTGAGAGGAGCTCCCTCTGACTAGTTCTCCTATGGAAAAAACATGCCTGCAGCCAAAACTAGATAGTAATAAATCATTTTCTAAAGCTAGAGAAAACTGCATGCACAGAGACAGTCAACTGGAGGTGAGAATTTTTGGCAAAGTATTGATCGGATCACAGAAAGATGAGAGAGTTTATTGGTAGGCTGCTCTTTTATTAATTATACTTTAGGAGCAGTATTATAAGCCACCTCACCATCTCTCAAATGGCCAGACTGGCACAGATTCAAAGCTACAGGACGCCCAACATCTAATGAGTAACTGGACTTTCTGCTTAACTTATGCCTGAGTACTGAGCCTACTTTGAAATGTTCTCACCTTTCCTTCTAACCTCACAACCAAAGGCTGAACACCTTAAGAACAAGCACTGTGAGAGGAGTTTAGAAAAAACCAGTAAGTTTATCTGAAAATGTTTCCTGCCAAGGCTTGGGAAGAGAACGTAGCATGCTTTCCTCCATCTTCTGAACTGAATTTTACTAATGTCTTGCAAATCAAATCAGGAAGTAAAAACATCTCTCTGTCAAAACTCCTTCACTGTGAGTCCTCTTGGTAACAGGCTCAGCACAGCCCGTAACGGCAGCACACGCTGCATGGGGCATCTGAGACCTTGTTCTCTACTCAGTTGCAGTCAAGTGTCCTGTGAAGCAATCCTGCAAATAAATACCCAGGCACACTTCATGCTCTGGATAAGCAGTTACTATACCGAGGTCATCTATTTGTTAAAGGATATCACTTGCACATACAGGTTGTAAAAACAGCATGATTTCTAAAACAGACCTTGACTGTGTTATCAGGTGCTCTATAAAAAAAATGTCTTTGAAGGTACTGGGGGCTTCCTGACAGGGAACCAAACTTGCCTTCCATTCAAAGCGCCAGCAAAACTTACCTTATTTTTGATACAATCAGGATGAGGTTCTAGGTAATAACAGAATTTCACTTACTGTATGAAATGTAAGAAGGGGAAAAAATACATTCAGGCATAGCTTTTGGCCAGGAATGGGGCACTCCTGTCTATAGCCGTGAGCACTGTACTTGGAGTATGCACATAATGTTCAAATTACGGCTACAGATCCTGAGAGGAAAAGAATCGTAGCATTCACCTTGGCTTCCCACAGAGCGAAGAGCACAGCCCCTTGTCTCTGGTGGTTTCTGGAAATAGCCCTCACTAAACTGGATATGGATTTTTCAACTTTGCTGCTTCTTTGCTTTCAGGAAAATTTTATAACATAGGAGACCAGAGGGGCCATGGAGAAGATCACTGCCAATTTGTAGACTCCTTCTTAGATGGAAGGACAGGACAGCAGGAAGATCTACCAGTCAAAGATGGTAATTCTTTACTCCTGTCTCTGAGGCAAACCTTGGCAATTCCGTTGTGTGTTTCTTTTTCCTGACAGTGGATTTGGTGCCCACTGCTCAGGTGGGCAATGGAAAAGGGACTACCAGCTTTGCAGGCAGAAGAGAGTCAAGAAGTTTTTGAAGACCAACAATGACTTATTAAAAGGCGGCTATGACTCAGGTTCTGTTAGGTAGTAAACAGCCTCTCTCCTATGTAAAACATTCCAACAGATTATTCACAGTTGGTATTACGTATTTAAACCCAACCACAAATCAGAGTTTGCAGAGAGGCGTGAAGTGTTATGTTCAAACTAGCAAGGTTGATTTAAAGTGCAGTAAATCATCAGTTGGGCATTAAACAGCTTTGTTTAGCGCTAATGAGAAACTGAAAAGTTATTACTGGAAAATATAATTCATGCTCCAGTAATGCTGTGTGTGCGGATTTGAACCGAGTGCCCACAATTCCAGTCTGGTCTGAGTGGGCATGGGACTGGATGTCCTAAATGCAGCTGTGACCAGCCTGGCTATTTTTCACATATTGCTGAGGCCCGAGCATAAGAAAATTGTACTTCTGTCAACTGAACTCTGGCCTCGCTTGTTTGCAGCAGCGCCAGCACGAGGTGTCCCATTCCCTTGTGGGGTAAGAACGCAGGCTGTATTGATTAACACCTGTGCATGCTGAGCATGTCATGGAATATTTTACTTAGGAAAATTTCAAAATCGTTTTCAGTACAAGACCAGTGTGTTGACCAAACCTTCCTGTATGTAGGGCTTCAGTTACAAAACACCTTACAGAAGTACAGAAATGTGTCAAGGTAGGCGTGGGACACTAAAGTGAAGTGCCTAAATCTTTCACAAGATTTTCCAAAAACAAAGTAGGTGAATGATCTGAAAAGAGTTTGGGTTTGCTTTGTTTTGCCTTTTTAAAGGGCTTTGCTTTTCCTTTCCCAGTCAGTGTTGCCCCTTCGTAAAGGTATTTTGTTTGTGTAAGGGATTGTCTGAATCCAGTTTGGCGTTGCCAGGAGCGCAGACCTCTCAGTTGTACCAGATGCGCTTTTTTTTTTTTAAAAACAAAGTAGGTGAATGATCTGAAAAGAGTTTGGGTTTGCTTTGTTTTGCCTTTTTAAAGGGCTTTGCTTTTCCTTTCCCAGTCAGTGTTGCCCCTTCGTAAAGGTATTTTGTTTGTGTAAGGGATTGTCTGAATCCAGTTTGGCGTTGCCAGGAGCGCAGACCTCTCAGTTGTACCAGATGCGCTTTTTTTTTTTTTTAATTTTTATAAATAAAATAACCTTTTACATAAAAAGCTCAGTACCCCAGCTCAAAAGATGTTTAAAACAGATTTGTTTTCAGCAACTGGATTTAATCGAGTGGATTCATGAGCTACATTCCTTTTTTTAGAAACAAACAAAAAACCCAACAAAACAAACAAACAAAAAAGCCCCCACCTTTTCTGTAGCTTGTATTTCTGGTAAATGAACTGAAGAGAGGAAAGAGCAGACAGATTGTCCATTGCTGTTCATCAGTGCCTCCCTGCCTGCAGCAAGCTGAGGTCTGTGCAAACTGGAATTAACCTTACAGATACTGGACCTGAAGTGCAGGTCCGGGAGGGCAGGCTGGCTGCTGCTGCCTAGTAGTTGCAGGACAGTATATTTTTATTTTTGTGTGTGTGCGCATCCGTGTGTGTGCGCGCGCACAGCTGCATGCTTTAGCCATACATGCATTGCTGATGACTTTTTAACTTAACGTTCCTTGAATGGGAAGCACGTGCCTTGTGATACAGAAGAGACTGAAAGCAGGGGGTAGGACCTCTCACTTGGGGCTGGGGCAATGGTGGCAAATATCCCCAGCGGTCAAGGTTCAGAGCAGTTGGGGCCGCCGCAGTGGGGACTGTGTAATCATTGCACTTTTGCAAGGAGGCACAGGTTCCTGTTCAGCGAAGCCCCCAGGAGCAGCCAGGGGTGGGGAAGGAGCGGGCAGGGGCCTGGCCCTGCCGGCACCATCCTCGGATGGGTGCTGAGAACTCAAGGCTCAAGGGCAGGCTGGCGTCACCTCTCTGGCCTCGGGCTGCAGCAAGCCCAAGGGCTTCGGCTTTTGTTCGAGTTGGGTGGGCAAATGCCAGCTGTCTCAGCGTGCCCACCAACTGACGTAGGGGCCTGTTTGTGGTGCATGGGCTACCAGCTTAGTGACTAGTTCAGCCATTAATTGACTTGTATAGGGGCTTCACAGGGAAATCAAAGGAAGGTACTGTCTGAGGGCTTCCTGCAAACACAACTCTGGTCTCTATTCCAGGATTTTTCAGGGCAGTTCGTCAGGAACCTGTCAAATTTGGAAAAATAGGCGGGGAGACTCACATTAACTATGTTCGCTGGTACGAGTGTGGAACATCGATACCTGGGAAGTGGTAGATGCGACGTGAACTTGATGGAAAGGCCCAGCACTTACCACCCCACCCGACTGCCCAACGCAGGCTCAGAGATGGAAATGTTTATGGTATGCCTGGCACTTAAGTAAGTTTGCTGATGTGCAAGGGTTTATACAAGTCTAATGCCAATACTGCATTAATTGTGTAATAGCGTAATAGGCTGCTTACTGTAGTTATCCAGTTTTACAAATTTGTTTTTAGATTTAAAAAAAAAATAAAAAAATCCCAAACAGGCTAAACGATATGTTGTAGGCTAATGTATAGGGAAGCTGGCTCCCTATTCTCGAGGTATGGTTTATATGGTATTTTAAAAGACACGGTGTGTATATTATTTATCTCAATGGTGTAATAAATGTTTAAGGCACAGTTATGGCAGAGTTGGTCATGGAACACAATGTGCATTAGTTTTTTAAATATTCACTGGTCGTCTTATAACGTAAGTGCCATAAGCTACCTGTCCAGATAGAGCTGTAATGTCTCCCCAGTCATAAATTATAGAAAAGACCCTACAATTTTTCAGCTTGTAACCAGTAAACTTGAAGCGCTTTGTCCTTACCTGTACAAACAGTTTATACTCCTGCAAAAAGGCTGAGGTGCGTTGCCGTATGTGCAGCTTTAAATGATCAGGTTAGCGGTTGGTTCCCCCCGAGTTTGTTTTCAAATGCTTCAGCTCCAGGCAAAGCGCCTGCTCAGCCCACTGCCACTGCCCGTGAGCTCGGCCGGGAGCGGGTGGTGGGGTGGGTGCCCTCTGGCTACAGCAGACAGGTGCCGATGGCCATGGGATTAAAAAATGAAACCGGCCTCCACAGCTCTGGCTTTCCATGAAAATGTAGTTCTCAGAGACTGAGACTTACTGGTTCAAAAGCCAAATGTACATAGAGTGCGGGGGGCACTTGGGAACAGAAATGAAACAGGAAAAAAAAAAATAAGCTAGTTGTAACAGCATAATCAGGTTTATTTAATAAAAAGAAAAGGAAAAAAGGTGGTTTAAAACATTGTGCATTGGGTACAAAGGGGAAATAGTGATAACTGAACTTTAAAACTGCTTTACAGTTACTTTGACTAAAACCTCTCCCAAAGCTACTCGTTGTACTGCTTGAACATTTATGAACTAAATAAAGAGATGTAGGTGTTTTTTTTTTTTAAGGTGTTATTCATTACATTACTAATGTATTGAAAAAAATATGAACAGGCACACCCAGATATATATATGGTAGAAATAGTCATTTACAGAAAATGCCTTATAAAGTACATTGCAGGTACACTGTACTCCTAATAAAATATTTTTTAATCAAGTGTTTTTCTTAGTGTTTTACATGGGAACAACTCTGCGTTTCTGTGGCAAATGCTGTTATTCCAGGAAGCGGTTTGTTCAGAACCAGGCCCCCGTCACACGGTGCGATGCGCACCCGAGGCGCCAGGGCTGCCAAGAGCAGGAGTGACAGCTCCGGCGGAGGGGCCAGGGCTCCCGCGGTGGGAGCAGCAGTGGGTGAGGATGCTGAAGGTAGGAATATTTTCACCCGCTTTGTTTCCTCATTTGTCTTTATGAGAGTTCAAGCAGCTTGCTCCAGTTCATATTTTTTTTTGTTCCCTACTTAGTTTTATGTATTCCTAGAATCCATAAGATGGAAAATATTAACTGGGAGAGTGTTTTGCCCTCTGCTGTTATATGGTCTATTGAACTTGTTACAGCTCTTGATCTGCTTTTTCTTGGCTCAAAATCAGGTCACTAGAATTGCACTCCCAAGTTTTTCTGGGTGGCAAAGAACCTGTGGAAAGTTGTTCCTTTTTAAGAGTTCTTTTTTAAAAATATGTAGTTGGCTTAAATTTTCAAGTCATAAACCAATTCTCCCCTGCCCTCATTAAAGGGAAATGGGTAAGGGGCTCTTAAGATTTTATGTATTGGTTCTTACTCATTTGGTAGAAGGGTTCCTTGGCAATTAATAACTAACGGCAGACGGTGCCCGACCATTGCCTGCTCCATAACCTCTGCAAAAGCAATCGGTATTCACACCGCTTCTCCATGTACGCACCTAGAAATCTGTCTCTTCTCTACCAACCTGAGCACCGCTGGTCTCTACCTCGGTATCTGCACGCCCAGCACGCGTGCTTGCCTTAACACAGGTTTCTTCTTCAGTATTACCTAAATTCTCAAATCAAGATGAGGCAAATAATAGATTCACGGTTTTTATTAGTTTTCCAGGTGAGCATCACAATTTATAATACATCAGATCTAGTTTTACCTCCAGAATGAATCTAATTTAGTACATCATGGTATTAGTAAAAACAAGCCTGATAGGTGGGCTAAGCTTCCAACTAGCATCTTCGAATCCTCCAAAGAAGGCAAGCTAGAACGTCAATTACTTTACAGACATTTAGGTAGTGTTTCCCAAAAACAACCCAGCCCCAAATTAAACTAGGAAGCAGATACAATTTAAAGCAGGAAAGATTCGTTTGGTCACTCCCCTCCCCACCCCCCCGGCAGAATTTAATTAACAGCTATGGTTTGTTTTTCTTTTTGCCTCACGACCGTTTTGGAACCTCAGTTAAAAATCCTGGAGTCTGTCGGGAT